CTTTAACTCTCTCCAACCCCTACTAACCCCCTCTAACCCACTGTAATCCTTTATTACCCTTTTATAAAACATCTAACGCCTTGTAACCCCCGTAATCTCTTCTAAGCCCCTGTAACCCCCTGTAAATCTTTGTAACCTTTCGTAACCCCTTGTAAGCCCCTGTAATAACTTGTAACCCCTTGTAACCCCTTGTAACCTCCTGTAACCCCTTGTAATCCCTGTTACCCCTTGTAACCCCTTGTAACCCCTTTAAACCCCTTTTACCCATTGCAACTCACCGTGATCCTTTGTAAACAGATGTAATCCCTTGTAACCCCTTGTAACCAATTGTATGGCCCTCCACCCCTTGTAAGCCCGTGTAACCCCTTGTAACCACCTGCAACCCCTTGTAACCTCTTGTAAGCTCCTTTAACCCCCTCTAAACCCAGGTAACTCCCTGTGACCCTTTGTAAACGCCTGTAACTGCCTGTAACCCCTTGTAACCCCATATAACCCTTTGTATCCCTTTGTAACCCCCTGTAACCTCTAGTAACCCCTTTTGCCCGTTATAACCCCATGTCTTCCATGTAATCCCGTAAAACCTTCTGTAACCCCTTGTAACCCTTTGTAACTCTTTGTGACCCCTTTATTCCCTTCTAACTTCCTGTAACCCCTTCTAGAACATGAGGAGCTTAGGAGAGAAAAAAAAATCTCAGCATGTATTCCATAAAGGCGTTAACATTTCTGTCAGCAAGCAAGCGAAACATTCCATAATGGCGTTAACATTTCTGTCAGCAACCAAGTGAAACATGTCAACGCGTGTAGCCGGTTAACAGCACGACATATACTTCAGTTTAATTAGCCGCGGTCAGGAAGAACGCTGCTGGCTTTGGAAAAACATCCAAACAAGCATAATAAAGTTTTAGGAAATGCCCACGAACGAAACCCGCAAATCGCCACTTAGCACATCACGACTGTAATTTAAATCTATTATGTGTACATTTACATGTTCTGGTCTTCAATATAAGTCTGCCGAAAATAAAAATAAAAGATTTAGTTGTTGATTTGTGTTCCTGTTTGTTTTTAAAGCCCCGACTATTCCGACTAAACGATCAAAAATTTTCGTCCAACATCGTGTTGGAACTGAAGAGGACGGATTTACCGTTAAAGCCGCCTCTCTTATCGTTGCATTTAAATGGGTTTTGATGTTTGATCGTTCAGCCACCCCGTGTTGTGCATGACAAATGCGATGCTGGACGAAAATGTTTGACCGTTGGGGCAAAAAAACAAATGCGCGCTCTTTATTGTGACGTAGCCAATGGGACCCAGATCACTTGGTTATGAAAATTACGCAATGTTTACTGGTTGTACATTACGTGCCGCTACGGGGAACCTTTGATCAGTGATGTTGTTGGTTAAAAACAAGTTTATAAGTTAAATGTTCAACAAGTTGTTAATACTTTATCTGAGCGCGAAATTCAAGTTAGAAAGCACAATGAATCTTGGATCTAAATCATCTGGCGCGACTTCATCATGGACTCCGATGTCGTCGATCGCTCGATTGATCCTTGGTCGCTTTCCAGAGTTACGGGACGCGATCTCGACCCTGCAAAGCACTGGTACGTCTTGACGAAAACTTTGTGTGGAACCCGGCCAAACGCTTTTGCCAAGAATGAAATTTTTCGTCGATTTCCCGAGGAGATACGTTCTGTGCCACCAGCAGATCTCAAGCCCGCCACAAGAGGTTGTTCTTTCCACACCAGACAACCGAACAACTTATATGTTGTTTCTACATTCGGTCTTTGTGCCGGACTGATTAGACAGCGAGAGTTTCCAGCAGATGGGCTAGTAAATTCTAAGAAGATTACTACGGTTGTAGACGCGGTGAATAAAATCGCTCTCGACAGTGAAATACCGGCGGAGAGTTTTGGCGGGAATTACGAACTGCAAAAATGTCAATCGAGAATTGCCGAGCTGGAGCACGAGATGCGGGAACTGGAGAAGCATAATGAATTTCTTAATTCATTTCTGCCTTTCTCTCCTCCTTTAGCAGCTTCTTCGCCGTGTTCTTCCCTAAAAAATTGCAGCAATGACAGCCTCAACACCAGCAGCAGCGACAGCCTCCACACCAGCAGCAGCAACAACAGCAGTGTTATCGAGGAGACATTGAATGGCCCATTAGGTCCAACGTTAAAAAAGAGGAAAGTCGCAGGTGAATGCAGAAAAGTGAGCTTGGAGGTGGATGGTGTGTTGGCAAAGTACCACGCGACCCTTTCCTGTGTATTAGGCAATAGTTTTTTGCATGGTACCGATGAGGAGAGAGGGAAGGTCTCAGAAACCATATCCGAAGTGGTCAATTTGGTCATGGAGGCACGAGGAGCTAAGAAAGGACTAACAGAGCTCCTCTTGCCAACAACGCATCAGCGTCTGCTAGAAAGTATGCGAGTGCCTGATTGGGTCTTGCTCTATTTTAAGTTGCAAGCCAAATTACCAGATGCTGCATGGCAAACACTGCTCAACCTTACTCAGCTTGGAAGAAGTGGGGTAAGCTTCACCTTATATACTGTTTTGAAAATATATGTTTATTCAAGCTTAAATTAATTTACAGCCAAAAAATTCCATTTTGTTATCAACAAAGTAATTTTTGTCACACCTGAGACACTGGGTGTCTATATCATTAACTTCCCCTCACAACTCACCTTACAGAGGACGAGCCAAGGGTTTGCCGTGATGTGGTTTTGCAGAAAATTTTATTTTAAGTTACAGTATTGTGGCTTTACAAAACCAAGGGTTTGCAGTATTTAGAAATTTTCAGGTAATTTCAATGTGGTTTGCTGTGTCGTCTTTATGCATATAATTTCTGTATGGTTTTGTGGTGTTTGTACCCCCTTATGACCCACTCCATCCAGGTATGACCTCCCCCTTAAGCTCCCCAAATAATAATAATAATAATAATAATAAGTTATTGTACTCTTTCCCCCAAAAGATTACTATTTATTGTGAACTTTTAGAAACTCCCAACAGCCTTTGATCCATTCCTTCACTTTGAAATTGTTGAAATAAAATAAATTGAAAAAAAAAATACTTGTGACAATCAAAAATGGACAGTACACACAGAGAAATAACTCCATATAAGTGCCTACTGTTTTGTTTACTAATTACAAAGAAATAATTTAGATTCATGTCTAAAATTTTGATGTACTAGTATTTTTGCTTGTTTTCAGCGTGCCAGTGACACTGCAGTTCTCTTGACCAAAAATGAGATCAGGGCAGTAAAAAAGCTAGTTTTTAAGGTTGTACGTACAACCCTGTCTATTAAAAAGATGGACACTGACTTCCATTCCTGTGGTGTGGACCTTGCCTCCGTATTGGTTTGGGCAATAAGAGAACAACGTCTGTATTCTCCAGATATAAGCGACCTGATGGAGTTTAACATAAAACTTGATGGACGCTCACTTGGAGGTAAGAATGGTGACACTTTTATTGTGATGCACAATAAGCCGCGTATGTGTTTTTCTTAGCACCTACTGTGGCTTAACAAAGAATTACATTGAAGTTATTTTAAAAAAAATAATATGTATCATTTCAATCATGATTGAAAATTTTGGGAAACTTCTCACCTTTTTGATTGATTGTAAAGTTAAATGTTTGTTTGCTACTTTTTAGGCAGGAATCAAGTGGCTGCTGGGCTTATGCCTATAGACTTTGAAAACAAAAGCTCACAAAGTGCCCTTTCTGTGTATCCATTGGCTATTGCCAATTGTCAGGAAACGAGGTTATGTGGCCATCATTATAATTATGATAATACATATTTACTCATCATCTTTTAACAAACTTGCTGTTGAACCTGTCCTCTGCATGTACTGATAATTAAGTCCTTAAGCTGGTATAATGAGTATGTGGTTAAATAAACAAGTAGTGCTGCATGTTGAAAGCAGGATTAACATAATCCAGGATAAGCAAAAAATTGATCCAGGGTGAAACAGCCATGAGTTCGTAGAATAAGAGTGGTTTAAAAGTTATTCCTCCATCTCTGTTTGTCCTTTCAATTAGAAGACTGTCAGTGACAGTCTTTAATCCCCAAGTGTGAATTATCAACAAAAATTAAATGTGAATTATCAACAAAATTATTATTACTATTATTATTTATATTACTATTATAAATCATATTATTACAATTATCATTATTATTGAATTATTATTATTACCGGTAATGTTATTGAATTCTTCCCAATCTTTTCTTTACTTATTGTAGAGAGGAACTAAGACAACTGATCTCTAATTTGAATGCCCAGAAAGACGAAATTAAAAAGAATGGAATCATTGTAGATGGAAAAAAGTACTACATCAACTTTACAGGTATTATGATATGGTTCAAAAGTAAAATGCACTATTGTACTATATAATGTAAGACAGGCTGCATAATTAATTTGAGCATTTTACTATTTGGAAAATGTGAATCTCTTAACTAGTCTTCTTATAGGAGGTGGTTGTTATTTGTTTTTGCACTGATCGGAGTAAATGAAGTGGTACAGTCGACTCCCAATAACTCGACCCTCCAAGGGAAATAGCAAAAGGTTCGAGTAAAATAACATGGGTAAAATAACATTGGAAAATGACCTGAGAGGAAACGAAAATTGGTTCGAGTTCTTGGAAGTCGGCTGTCTAACACAAGAAGTGGATCTTTGATAGGATACCATGTACTGCACATAGGAAGTAAATAAATAAGAGCAATAATGACGTTAACTCTTCATACTGCCACATTTCAGGTCCATTTTACTTTCCTTCATTGTCATTTTTTCCTGATGAAAAGTTTTTATTTGCAGTTACCCTTGACTACAAAGCTCTTCTACTTTTACTGCAAAAGGGTGATGATGAAGACTTTCTTCTTGGTGGGAAAGGGTATGATGAATTCTGCGCTTTCTGTGATGCCATAAGGGTAAGTATACGAAAATATTTGAGATTGTTACCCAGATTTGATTTGTATGTCTTATTTCCCAGTACATACCTACTTAAAGATGATTTCACCCATGATTAGCTCCAAAAGGGGAATTGTTAAATACCAATTTTTAATTATTCAAATTAATGTGTTTGATCTCCAGGGATGCACATGTCATGGAGTTGAGCCTGATGAAACCTGCCTTGACTGTTTAAGATCTAAAGCTAACATTGGCAGGTAATTAAGAGATCATGTTTTAAGAGTCTGTCTGGTTTCTTGATCTTCAGAAACAAATTGCAATATCTGTTTTCTGAATATGACTAGTTTTTTGAGTAAAAAGAGCAACAACTGCAGCAACAAGTCAATTCATACCAAGAACATGACTGAAAGGAGAGCACAAACATTCATGTAGGGAAAAACAGGAGATAATGAAAAAAAAAATGTGATACGTACCTTCATTTTCAACAAATAAAATTGTATGTGACAGCATAACTATTTCCAGCCCCGTCAAAATGGCAATTTTGCCACTTTTATTGGAGTATTTGCCACCTACTGAACATATTTTTGTTTTATTGATAAACCAAACAAGTTTAGGCCTATAGAATGCTGCCTGCTTTAGTTTGCTTACCTAAATACTGTAAAACATTTTGACCAGGCTAGTTGCTGTCATGATTTTACAGATTGAGGAATGGTGTTGTGTAATTTAATCTTAAGGCCTACAGGTCTAAGAGATGACCTCACATTTCTGTTGGAAGAAGAGCTCAGCAACATCAATCTTTGTTCATTGCATTGCGAGATGCGTAACTGTGAGCAGCTTCTGGGCTCACTGGGACTGTTTGCTCACCGTGTTGGCTCTTTGGACTCTCTCAATAAAGCCTTGTCTGACCATGGGCCAGAAAGCTGCAAAGGCTTCCCTCGGGTGACAGTTAAACTAAAACCTGGCCAGCAAACAGAAGTGGAGAGGCACAACATCAAAGTAGCATCCTTTTCAGGTTGGCTTACTGAAAATTTGCTGCAGTTGTTCTTTAATAGGGACCAATTTTTTTTTAAATTTACATGATTTCTGATAACTTTTAGAGAAGATTATTTACTTTTTCAAAAAAGAAAACTGCTGCCAACCGTCTTATATTTCAGTAACGACAGTCTTGTAATGCATATAATAATTTGACCCAGCCTCAATATTATTAGACATGTAACATGTCTTTCTGATAAAAATTTGCTGCAGTTGTTCTTTAATAGGGACCAATTTTTTTTTAAATTTACATGATTTCTGATAACTTTTAGAGAAGATTATTTACTTTTTCAAAAAAAAAAACTGCTGCCAACCGTCTTATATTTCAGTAACGACAGTCTTGTAATGCATATAATAATTTGACCCAGCCTCAATATTATTAGACATGTAACATGTCTTTCTGATACTTAGACAATGTTTTGTGAGTGAAGGAGAAACAGAGAAGAACTCCTCAGTATTTGAAAATCCAGCTCAAAACCATTAATGTAAATGAGAAACACATTTCAGGGTTGTCTTGTTTGAAAACTGGCAAGTCGACTACGACATCAACAAGACGACTTAGTAGGAAATGGTCCTACATGTATATACATATATTAGTACACTGTCTTAAAAAATTTAAACCTGTTGTGATAGTCTGATATTATGGGTTTTGTAAATTCATCACATTTTTGTTATAATAATAATAATAATAATAATAATAATTATTATTATTATTATTATTATTTCTTTTGTTTTTAATATTGTTATTAAATTCACTAAATTTCATGGTTGTTTTACAGGATCATTTGAAAGAGAAGTTCTCAAGCATTTTGAGACCATTGTGGAGAGATCACTGCCAGTGGACAAAGTAACAAATTATTACCAACAGTGCCCTGGTTCTGGAAAGCAACTTATCTTAGATTATGTCACATTCTTTGAAGAGCGAAAAATGGTTGGTGCACCATGGACAACATTTAATGTGATGACAATGCAATGATCATGTCAATCGTTAAACAGCTTCTGCCATTGTTTTGTCATTACACCCTCTTTGCCACCTTTACATGACTTTGTTACAAATTAAGCTGGCAGTCTTTCTGTCTTTTTCTTCATCAAAAGAACATGGTATCTTAAGATGTTTCTGCCTGTTCATGATCTTTAATATTGTTGGCTTCTTTTCCCTTTACAGCTGGATATGTGCTGACCACTCATGATTAAAGTATTAGTTTCCATGCTTTTTTTACTATTAAGTTGTCTAATTTTTTGCAGTACATCACTGACCTGCTGGAATGTGGAGAAATAACTCGTGATTATGGTGTTAAACAGGAAATGGCTAAAATTGAGGAAAATAGTGGTAAGAATTTAAAAATCTTAAATGGTATCTGGATTTGCAGCACTACAGCAGTGGGGCTCTACATATCACTTAATCAGTTAAGTGACTTAATTATATTACTTTCTGGCAAGGGTTCAACTTGTTCATAAAAATATTTTAACAAGTTCCTGCATGTGTTAATTTTTAAAGGGAATAACATTGAAACAAATTTACACACATTAATTATTTTAGATTTTGAAAAGTTTCTAACCAGTCGAAGAGAAGAATGGGAGACAAGACAAAAGGAGGTTGAGGCAAAGTTCCTGGAGTTAAGTAGTTTGTCAGATAAACTTGCAGCTGTTCCAAGTGAGCCTAAGAAGAGGAAGAGGAAAGCAAAATCAGATAATTGCCCTCAAGTGCAGCAAGATCCTTTTGCATCCTATGCAGCTGAACTTCAAGTTTGTTTTTTCAGAAAGGTAATTTTATATTATTAATCAATTTTTATAAGGTTTTTTATTATTGTGTGCTGTTAATACTTTCATTTTTCAACAAAATTTATTTTTTTTCTTGATTCATAAATCCAGATCAAGCACTCTCATCATTATTAATTTATTGGTTTGCAAAATTTACTTCCTTTAATTTTTTGGTCAGCATTGTAACATGGAATTGTTTGCCTCTCAGTCATTGTCATTTTGTTTTCGACCTGTGCACTGGAATTAAATCAAAGAGTGATCAACCAGAAAACAAAACTTGAAATAAATATGCATTTAAAAATGCCTCCCTGGAAATTGACTTAAGAGTGCAGTACTTTTGTTAGAGATTGTATGTAAAGGTTCTGCATTTTTGGAAATATTCCTCTTTCATTTTCCAAAAAGGTCTGCAGTGACTGGAGGGATATTGCGTTGACGATCCGTGACAAAGTATTTGCTGAAGATGAAGAACAGCTTATTGATATACATGATGTTAAGGTGAGCTGTTCTGTGATTTATTTTGGTAATATAATTTCTGATCTGTGATATGTGTAATAATGTACGTTGCAGCATAGAACTGTTTTTTTTTTCCTTATTTTTCGAACCTATTGTCCACTGTAACTGTTTTTTTTTGGGGTACTTTATTAAAAAACTTTTTTTTTAAATTTTTTAGTGTAAAGAGTGGGGGTTCCTTTTAAAAAAGCTATTTGGCATGCATCTTGGCACAGGGGACTATGGCCACCTGGTTATTGATCACAGTGCAATGCTGCTGCGCAATTTCCGTTCACTGTACAAGTATTCTGGGCAAGGTTTTGAGTCGTCCCACAAACTACACCGTAATCTGTACTCAAAGGCAACCAATCATGATTCATCTGCACCAGGACAGTCATGTAAGACTTAGATAGTCACATTAACAAGCTTTAGTTCATGTTTTTGTAATTGTAGTTTTCCTTTTCATTTTGTAACTTTCCATTTATTTTGTAATAATGTACTCATCATCATTTTCGAGTTATGTTAATGTCAACTTACAAAACTAAAGCTGGGGAGCCTTAATTAACATAAGCTTCATAGTTTTGTCTAGGCCTCCTTGCCATTGTTATCTCTATTCTTCTTATTCTTCTTATATTAATATATGTTATTGTAGTGCAGCAAAATAAAAATAAACAAATAAATAAACAAATGTTTATGCCGCTTTTATGTTATATGTAGCAATTTGTAAACATTTTTTAAATGAACACATTAGGCCACAATGCCCACATGTCTTCATGGGCAGTTGTTACACGTGCTTACAAAATGCGACAACAAATTTGAGTGCCTCATTAAAGGGAAGCTTTTGATTCGTAAGCTCAAACCCACCTTACAAATTTTGTAATTAAAGGTATCTAAAAAGAAAATTTACATATAGTAAAAATTTCACACTAATTGCTCTTTTTGTATATATCATTTCAGTGGATCAAATTCTTACCCACTGGTTTTCAACCATGCTGTTGTCATTAAGATATACTTTTCGTGAAGCCAAGAACTGCATTATGCTTGGTGAGTTTGATATGCATTTTGATGCCTGGTGATGGTAAAGATGACAAATATATATGTTGTAGTTAATTTTTTATCTCAGGTAACTTTTATTTTTCTTTTGTTTTTGGGTATGTTAATGTATGCTAATGAAGTTTGAACAAAAGAAAAATAAAAATTACCTGAGATAAAAAATTAACTACAACATATATATATCTGGACAAACCTTCAAATAGTCTAATTGAGTAATATTTTGCACTTAAAAAAAAAGTTCTTTATTAATTTTTATAAATGTTGTAATACTAATATTGTTTGGGCACAAATGCAACAGATTAAATGCAAGGATCATAATTAATTTATCTGCAATCATTATATCCACATGTCAAAATCATTTCATGATAAATTAAGAAAATTATACTTACCCTTCACATTTCATTCCTCCCTCCTAGAAAGCATATCATCCATCATGACATTGTGCGAAGACAGTAATTTGCTCATTATGTTTCATTCCATTTGCTTTAGGAAAGAAAAAGTTCTCCTTCCGTGGATCTGGATGGAAGGCAATTAGCACTGCCAACTGGTCCCAGGAGCATAAGGATTGGATTTTAACAATAGACAATTTGTTTACTCAGCTATTGGGTGAAGACTTCTTGAGGTATGTTTATGATAAAGACAAGGGAACAAGTGTTGATGAACACATTCTTTCAACCCTTGTTGATTACAATCATGATCAGTGGGAGAGTGAATATTTAAGCCAGCCAACAACAGCAATGCAAGACATGCCTTCAAAGGGTCATGGTCCCAAACATCCTACACAGGATACTTCCCAAAAACCTCCCAAAAAGATCTGCCTTGAAAATGAAACCTCCCAAAAGAAGGTTATTATCCTAGATGAAGATGACACTGAGGAGGCAAACTGCTCCAACAATGGCAGTGAGATCAACTGTCTTCTGCCATATCTACAGCATCCACTAGAGCTGAACTAGCTGCACTAGCCACTTTAATTCCCCCAGTATCCTCTTTTACTGGTTCCCTATCCCCAATGCTTGGTCAAGGAGCTGGTAGTGATTTGTTATTTACAAATCCCTTCTGTGTGGTTCAACGTCCATGCCAAGCAGTCATTGAAAGAGCTGAAGCTCTCCTAACAGATGAAAGGAAAAAAGGTAACAGTCCATTTGGTGTTGTTATACCAGGGCTAGGCCAGTTCTCTAAACAAGGCTTGAGAATTCTGAAAAAGTTTTGTGCTATTTCTGAAACAAAACACAAGGTATCTTCAGAAGCTAGGTGGCTCAGTGATGTAAATTGCACACAAAGAGAGCTGGAATGTCTTCAAACAGTTTTATGGAACAAACCAACAGGAAGTCGAATTCTGGTATGTGACCACAAGGCTATTGATGTCCTTTCTTTCTCAGATCTTACTGAAGAAAGGTACATTGATAGCTTTGTTATTGATGTTTCCATAAGCAAATACATTGAAGAAAGCTACTTAAAAGGGCAAGAGGACACATTGTATTTACCAACTGATATTTTCCAGTGGATGCAGGTCCAAGACAAAGGTTTCAAACTTAGGAAGTTAAAAGAGAGGGCTTCCCAGGTTGCTCTGTTTGAGAATGTGTGTCAAATATTGGTGCCTGTCTTCATGGTGAACCACTGGGGCCTTATCTATGTCAATTTTTCTGATAAACATTTGTATTTTGATGATGGGCTTACCTCTGTGGTGCCTCAAGTAGCCCTTCCATTGGTCAAAGATGCTTTGGGTCTCCTTCTTGAATTATTCCCTGGTCACCCTTCCCTACAAACAAAGTTTTGGCACTCCATCGAAGGCTTTGTGCGATTTGGAATGCCTTCACAGTTGCCCATTGATGGTAAAATGATTGGTGTTGGCAGTTGTGGGATTGGGGTCATCATGGCTGCCAGAGACTTCATCAGGAATGGACCAGCAACTGTCAACAATATCAAGTGGAGATATTCCAACATGGATAACCACAGAAAGGAACTAATGTTGCAGATCCTTAGATGGGCTGGATATGATTGTTAAATCTCCCAGAATTTCTTTTTCTCCATTATGTGCTCAACCTTGCATGATGTATGCCTGAGGGTTCCAGTTTTTACCAACCCTGTGCTCTCCTGTGTAGTGTATACCTGAGGGTTCCAGTTTTTACCAACCCTGTGCTCTCCTAAGTAGTGTATACATGAGGGTTCCAGATTTTACCAACCCTGTGCTCTCCTGGGTAGTGTATACCTGAGGGTTATAGATTTTACCAACCCTGTGCTCTCCTGGGTAGTGTATACCTGAGGGTTATAGATTTTACCAAACCTGTCCTCTCCTGGGTAGTGTATACCTGAGGGTTCCAAATTTACCAACCTTATACTCTCCTGGGTAGTGTATACCTGAGGGTAAGTCACTATTTTTCCTCTCCGTTGAGACTGTCACCTTGCCGTGGTGGAGGGGCTTGAGCGTCTCTATGACCCTGAGGCCTATAAAGACAGTGATGTACAAACATCTAGTCAAGGTCAAAGGAGAGAGTCCAGACCAAGAGCAGTCTCCTGTGACTTACACAAACCATTACTTTGCATTCTCTTCAATCAGTTCTGTACTCTTGGGGTATAGTAGATTCTTGCAGATGTGCTTTAATCAATCCCCTGGTATCCTGGGTAGAGTATACCTGAATGCTACAGTTAACATACAGAAAGTCTCTAATCAATCCTGTAGCCTCCTGGGTAGTGTATACCTGAATGCTACAGTTAACATACAGAAAGTCTCTAATCAATCCTGTAGCCTCCTGGGTAGTGTATACCTGAATGCTACAGTTAACATACAGAAAGTCTCTAATCAATCCTGTAGCCTCCTGGGTAGAGTATACCTGAATGCTACAGTTAACATACAGAAATGCTTTAATTAATCTTGTAGTCTCCTGGTTAGAGAACCCTGGGAAAAGTACATGTATACTTTAAAGTTGCAAACAGCTGACCTGCCTTTAGTTATAAAACAAGCCACCATTATGACTTTGTCTAAACCCTATTCACTGAGCTTGCAGTTGAAGTTAAAAAGAGGTAATGTACTCTATTCTATCACGGTTTTTTTTTTGCTGTTTGTTTGTGTTTGTTTATAATGATCTTGGGTATAACTTTTTTGGGAGGTTCAATATTTTATGGACTTACGTATTTTTTAATGGTAAGAAGTTCCCACTTGAAAGTAGATATTTTGGTAGAGTGAAACTATTCTTTTTAGGAACATTGAAAGGGACTTTGTTGCTAGCAAATTGGATGGATGGTGACATTAATGCATTAACCGTTTTCTGATCATTTTTTCTTATTCATGCTGTGCAGATGAGAAATGTCTAACTGGTAGTAGACGTATGGAGGAATATTATTGTACCGCATTGATCAATCATGCTAAGAGATGAAGCTGCACAGTTTTAGAATAGTAGGAAGCGCAGTGGTCACACGTTTCCCATTCCAGGCATTTTCCACAAGTGGCTGTGTTTGTTTCGGGGTATGTGTTTTTTTTTACATTATTTACTTTTTGCCTTTATGTTTCCTGTTTTTTTATCCTTATTGCCCCAATGATGCTTTTCAGGACAGTTGTATCCCTGTTTGACTTGGCATCGTACAAAAACGGTTAAGAGAAACAAGATTATGTGTCAAAAATTTTATTTACGTCCGTGTGTCTGAAAATTCAGTTTACGACGTTTACAGCAGTTTTAAAGTTAACATGTAGTATGCAGTTCAGTTTTTACACGATAAATTCCTTAACTGAACTGGTGTTTAAGTATTATTGACAACAACCAACGAAACATTTTTTTTAACTTTGACTGTATGGAACGGCCATGAACGTTTAGTCCAAACCTTCAAAACTATACAAGTTGAACACGGCTTACATATAGTCTAATGCACATCTTTCCTAAATGTACAGTGTTGTAAAGATTTGGCCACCAAATAAGGTCTACTTCGCGGGTAGCGCGACCCTCTCCAGGCCCAACTACTAAATTGCTGATGCATGTGATCCTGGTTTTCGGTGCCCCTCCATGGGCTTTGCTTTTGGCAGCAAGGAGGGCTTGTCTGGGATCATACTCCTCTTCATCGCGCTCTGTTATTTCTAGTTGCCCGTTCCATCTTACTCGTTCTTTTAGCGAAAGAATGTTTTGTCTTGCGAAGGCTTCATGAAATTCGGTCAGGTCAAAGAAGCGGTAAGTGACTTTTCTTGTGGAGGAACTGAAAATAGGCGCCCGCCAATGGTGCTGGCTCCTAACAGCATGGGGTTGTGGATTTTTGAGGTCTTTTAGTAACTGCTGAAAATATTTCGCCGGAACCATGTTGAATTCTAAAGTTTGCCAATTTCCTGTGGAAGAAAATCGTGAAAGAGAAAACGTTATTTATATGTTTCAATTTAATAACTCACTGCGCATCAAACTGTATGAGCCTTCCTGTGAACTTTTAGCGTTATTGGGTGGGGCTGTTATTCCATAGTAGTAAGGGTTCATTTATGCAAGTGCTTTACCGGCAAATAAACGCACGCGCTGATAGTAGAGTAAACGAGAAATTCACATTCGCTGTTTACGAAGGAAGAATCAGTCTTGCACTTAAAATGTATGACTATTAAGAATTCGAACGGGTGTAGTGTAATTCTGAATTTTGAAAGTTACAATGTTCGCCAAAATACCACGATGTTAAGCAGCGCAAAGCCTTCAACCCACCAATCTAGTGTATACAATCAGATGATTTAAGTTAAGTCAGTAGCGCAATCATATTTCAAGATTATCTGCACTTAAGCATTTTCTTTTACTTGAAGAGGACAATGCCAAAATAAACACACAATGAAGCCAAATGCCAGTTTATAAAACGCGTTGATGCATGAATTAACGCAAATCAGCCACGTGTGCACGTGAGTTTTACCTCCCTCCTAAGTTTTCCTTCAAAACCAACTTAATGTATTACCCCGCCTACCCACTTTTGCTACTAGATTGAACTTACTTTTATGCCTCTGATGGTGAATTCCATTCAAGCGTTCCACAACTCCTGTCAACCACGTTTTATATTCGCCTTGTACAGCGGGAGATCTGATTGCTTGAGCTTCTACCAGCTGCACTACTTTATCGTCATGAAAGAAAAAGACTCTTTTCGGAACTTGACTGTTTGCATGGCTTTTCTCAAAGTGCTTAACAAGCGCTTGAAATGTTTTAAACTTTTTATAGCATTCGTCGCAACGTAAATATGTATCAGCCATGCTAAACAACGTGCGATAATACGGACGTGATCGGGAATAGCGTCAACTTCCTGCGGTTTTATTGTTACCAGGTTCGTTGTTAAAAGTTTGACCAATAATATGCAGGGGCGGATCCAGGAATTTTCACCATAGGATTTCCTAAATTATGGCCTCCCTCCCGTTCACATGTTTTACTTTGAATTTAGGTGTAGGCAGAGGGTGGGGGTAATAGTCCACAAATTATTCCATGTTTTTCCTTAACGTCCCCAAGACTGAAATGAAAAAAGCTATAATGCCGCACACCTAAAATACTTAGTTATTTTCAGTAAAGATACCCCAGTGATACCATATTACTGATTTAAAACAAATCAAAACCCGCGGGACGATCCGGGAACTTCATATGCCATAAAATGCATATGATTAGGTAACATATACTTAGCAGTTACGAGGTGTTGGTTCTACCAGGCAAATGTTGCACGTGTTTATTCTATCGTAGCATTTTTAGTTACAGCGCTTCGCCAGTAAAATTACATAACTCTAAGGGGCATTTACATTTTAGTTTATTTTTGGGCGGGGGGGGGGGGTCCGCGCCCCTATTTCCTTCGCCTGGATCCACCACTGGATGCCGGGATATTTCCGTTTTTTCGATAAAACAAAGCTTTTTTGTTTTCAAATTTCTACAAAGTCCGTCCCACGCCGATCGTTTTTTTCTGAAAGCAAACATGTCCTCCAACAAAAAGAGGAAACAACAAAAAAAAGAGTTTTCAAAACAACGACAAAATAATTAAAAGAATTTTTTTTTTATAAGTTATGTATGCTGCTACCATTGTTTTATTGTTCTTTGTTTTTATATTTATAGAAACACCCCCGCAAAACTAAAAAAAAAAATTTTATTTTATAGGGTCTTTTATTATTTTAAAAGTATTTTTTTTGTATGGGGAAAGGGTTTTTTTTTTTTTTTTTTTTTTGGGGGGGGGGGGGGGGGGTCCGCGCCCCTATATCCTTCGCCTGGATCCACCACTGGATGCCAGGATATTTCCGTTTTATCGATAACACAAAGCTTTTTTGTTTTCAAAATTCTACAAAGTCCGTCCCACGTCGATCGTTTTTGTCTGAAAGCAATCATGGACTCCAACAAAAAGCGGAAACAACGAGAGAAAGAGTTTTCAGAACAACGACAAAATTATTACAAGAATCTAAGAAAGGAGCAAAAGAAGAAAAAAAAGAAGAGAATGAAAAATGAAATGAAAAACAAGTTAAGAGCAGAGGTTGAGGTCGTTGAGCTGAAATCAAGAACTACACGTGGTGCAACAAATGTGCTTCCTCCTGCCACGAAAGAAGGACCGAAGAGAAAAAGAAGGCTGGAGGATTCCGAGAAACATTTGCCCCGGGGTAAAAGGATGGTCTCGGCATCTCTTCAACAAGAGAGAGAAAAGAAACAGAAAAAAAGCGAAAGACAAATTTTAGTTCCGGCGGTCGGTCCAAAAGCATCCATCGACAGTCCGGATTTAAAGGAACTGGCGAGAGAAAATTTGACCCGTAAAAGCGGGGCTCGGTCTATCGGCAGTGGCACTTTTGGGAACTGCTACCTGGGAAAGTACCGCGGCATTTCTGTTGTAATTAAAGAATACAAAGATTTAAGCAATTCTCGTAACAACAGCCATCATGATAGTTTGTCCCGTTTACAAATGGAGGCAAAACACGAAGCACGTGTTCTGCGCAAACTTGGGGATCATCCAGGAATCCCACTTCTGTTTGGGGTTTCCCTGAAAGAAGTACCTGTCAGCATCGTGTTAAAGTTTCATGGGGACGGTGAAGAGAGCCTTACAGTTTTCAAAGCCGCAAAAACTGAAAAAGTTTCCGAACAGAAAGAATGGAATCGGATACTCCATGATACAGCGAACGCTCTGGAGCACATTCATGGATGTGGATTTGCACACAACGATTTGAAATCGAATAACGTTGTTTTAGAGAAGCGACAAGACAAATGTCTCCACCCGGTAATCATTGACTTTGGCAAGAGTGTAGCGTTCAGCAAAGCCAAGAATCCTGTCCCCAAACCATCGTATTTGAAAGATCAGTACAAGAACAGTTACATTGCTCCTGAACTTATCGATGGCACGGGGAAACCTTCAATAAACAGTGACGTGTACTCACTAGCTTTCATGATCAAATCCGTTTATGGAATTTTAAAGTTCAAAAGCATTGGGATTGTAAAGGAAGGTTTATCTACGGTAGCTGCAAAAAGACCGTCGGTCTCGGAAGTGAAAGCGGCTTTACGTGTCGCTGTTTAGTTTATGCAGTCCCAACATATTCTCTTTTATTTTTTCTAAGTAATCCGGTGGCCTCTTAATTTAGTAATTGACGAAATTTGGCCAGGACTATTTTGTTTAGCTACGAGGAAAATATTATGACATGAAATAATCTGATAACAAAGAAATATCAAAATCATATCACGCGGCACGTGTATGTTTCCGTTGAGACCCATTACGGCTTTGTAATGATTTGATGCCTTTTAATTTAGTTAAGGCTTTTGATAAATTTGGTATTGAGTACAGTAAAAGGAGCTGCTTTATAAAAAATTAATGTCTTTCACACAGCGGCGGGCCTAATCCATAGCATATTACCGGTCACAAAATCTAACTGCTCAAGATTAAAAAGCCGCTAGAAAAACTTTTAAGCCGTTTTGTTATTTAAACCGTGATAGTCTGTGTATCTTAGTTTTATAGTTTGTCTTGGGGGAGCAGTTTTCGAAGAGTTGGATAATGAAAACGTGTATATATCATTGGACTTTGAAAAATTATGTTTGACACCCCTTTTTCATCAACGTATAGTACTCGTAACTAAGATTCAGGCGGAAAACGAAAAGGAACAGTGTTAAACATGCGTAATCATTTTTCTCTCAATAAAATGGTCATAGTGCTAACAAGTATTGTGGAGATTAAAAATGCTTTATCGGAAATTGCGGTTACTTTCATTTCAGATTAGGGTAGCTTGAATTACTTTTTTGTGGGCGATTTCTTGAAGTCCTAGGGTGTTCAGCTAACACCTCAAGAGACCGAGAGGTGTCAGACACTGGCTTTGAATTACTTATGCAAATTAGCTGGCTGCACATTCAATGTGCAGCCAGCTAATTTGCATAAAATTTTTTCACGCATCAAAGCTCGTCATGCTCTACCACCCTGTAATCCCTCATTACCCTTTGTAACCCCTGTAACCACTTGTAACCCCCTCTAACCCCTTGTAACCCCTTGTAACCTCTTGTAACAACCTGTACTCCCTTGTAACCCCCTCTAACCCCTTCTAAGCCCCTGTAAGCCCTTCGCATCCCATGAAACCCCTTGTAACCCCCGTAACCTCTTGTAAACCCCTGTTACCCTATGTAACCCCATTTAAGTTCCTGTAAACCCTTCAAGCCCCCATGTACCCCTTGTAACCCTCTTTAACTCCTTGTAACCCCATGCAATTCCTTGTAAGCAACTGTAACACCTTCTAACTGCTTGTAACCCTATGTAACCCCTTGTAACACCATTTAACCCCCTGTAACCCCTTCTAATCCCTTGTAACACCTTGTCACCCCTTGTAACCCCAAAGTAAAACCCTATAACTCCGGGTAACCCCATTAAAACCCCTGTAACCCCGTGAAACTCAATAAAACCCCATGTAACCTCCTGTGACCCCTTGTAACCCCTTTTAACCCTGCAACCCCCTGTTACCTACCGTTACATTCTGTAACCACCTGTAACCCCTTCTCACCCCTTCTAACCCCCTCTAACCGCTTGAAACCCCGGGTAACTCCTTGCAACCCACTGTCACGCCTTACAACCCCATGTAACCCCTTGTAAGCATCTGTAACCCCTTGTAACCCCTTATAACCCTATTTAACCCTTTCTAAGTCCCTGAAACCCCTTGCAACCCTCCGTATCCCTTGTAAGCTCATGCAACCTTTTGTAACCCCCTATAACCTATTGCCACCAATTGTAACCCCGGTAACCCCTTGTAACTTCATGTAATCCCTTGTACCACCTTGTAACCCCCTGTAATCCTTTATTACGATTTGTAGTCCCTTTAACCCCTTGTAACCCCCTTTAACCTTTTCAAAGCCCATGTAACCCCTTGTAACCCCTGGTAACCCCTTGTAACCCCTATAACACCATCTATCCCACTGTAACCCCTTTTAACCTCTTCTAACCTCTTCTAAGCCCCTGTAACTTCTTGTAACCCCCTGTAACCCCTTGTAACCTCATGTAACTCCCTGTAACCCTTTGTAACCCACTGTAACCCCTTTTAACCCTATGCAACCTCTTGTAACCCACTGTAACCCTTTGTAACCCCCTGTAATCCTTGTAACCCCCTGTAATCCTTGTAACCCCCTGTAAGCCCTTGTAAACCCCTGTAAGCCGTTGTAACGCCCTGTAACCTCTTGCAGCCTCCTGTTACCCTCTCTAACCCCTTGTAGCCCCTTGAAGTCCAATGTAACCCGCTATAACCCCCTGTCACCCCATGTAATTCCCTTCAACCCTTGTAACCCCCTGTTACCCTCTGTAACCTTCCTTAACAACCTGTAACCGCTTGTACCCCCTATCACCTCTTCTAATCCTTTGTAACCCCTTATCACTCTTTGTAACACCCTGTAACACCTTTTAATTCCTTGTAACCCCAGGTAACCTCTTGTAGTGCCGTGTAACCTCTTGTAACCCCTTATATTCCCTGTAACCTTTTGCAACCTACTGTAACCCCATGTAACCCTTTGTAACTCCCTGCGACCCCTTTCTAACCCTGTCTAACCCTTGCAATCCTTCATTACCATTTGTGGCCCCTTGTAATTCCCTGTAACCCCTAGTAACCCCTTATAACCTCTTGTAACCGCCTCTAACCCACTGTATCCCCTTGTAACCCCCTGTAACCTCTACTAAAACCTTTTGCCCGTTGTAACCCCATGTCTTCCCTGTAATCCCTTGTAACCTTCTCTAACCCCCTGTAACCCTTTTTAAATAT